TTAAGGAAGTTTGTGTTAATGGGTAGTTTCAATGCAAATGATTTGAGAGAGTATTTTAAGAAAACCAACATATTTTTAACATTAGCTAAGTAGATCTGATATTAAGGGGCGAAGGTAGTAGTTAGTTTGTGTCATGTCTCATGTAATGCATGGATAATTATGTGTCCTAGACTAGAATCAATATGAAAAATTCATGGAACATTTGGTGTTAAATCTCCTTAATCATGCACTGCCATGTACATATTTCAGAAACTCTGAGTATGAGGACAGACAACTGATGTTAGAACAATTACGATTGATGTGACAAACAATAGTAAACAAGCAATCAGAAAGTAAGCTAGTTCACAAACCTGGTCCTTGAAACCACGTGAAAGCATTTCATCAGCTTCATCTAAGACAAACATCTTTATGCAAGCTGGGCGAAGAGACTGCCTTCGTAGCATGTCAAACACACGCCCGGGAGTGCCAACAACAACATGGACACCAGCTTGAAGAATGCGCTGATCTTCACGTACACTTGTCCCTCCAACACAAGCATGAACTCTCACACCAAGGTAATCACCAAGAGCTCTCATAACTTTCTCAATTTGCTGTGCTAGTTCCCTTGTTGGTGCCAAAACCAAGGCCTGGCACTCAACTAATCCATAATCAAGCTGTTGCAAAATTCCAGAGCAAAAAGTGGCTGTTTTCCCAGTCCCAGATTGAGCCTGTTGAATCACGTCAAGGCCTTTGATGAAAGGAACAATCCCTCTTTGTTGAATTGCTGAAGGCCTCTCAAAACCTTTTTAAAACAAGAACACTCTATTAAATGCCTTTCTATGGGACAGAGTAATGCAAGAATTATATTTCTTGTTGTTTTCCTTTTTGAAAAACAAACCACATTACTGATTCTTTGCTTTTGAAAAAAAAATGTAGGCAGTTTCAAAACAAGGAAAAAGAATCAGAAAACGTGATGATATCACTCCTGTTTGTCCCCTTTGTACTCATCTAGTAGCCAAGTAATTCAAAAAATATGTACTGACGTAAGTCTGAAGCACAGAAAGTTTCAGGCATAAAAAAAGAAAATGAGTAATTTTTTTTTTCCATAAAAAGCTAAATTACAGCCGATATAATCATAAAATGCTAAGCCAAACTAATTTTTTCAGTAAGGTTCTCCCAATTTCAGCTATCCAGCACCAATTATAATAACCTAAATGCATATTTTGGTTTCATGGTGAAAATCATCAAAATCATGGTTTTACTGGTTTCTAACTTGAAACCAAATACGCTTTCAATATTTCTCCACGGAATTGCTATTAAACTTGTTTGCAAATTCCTCATCCTAGATAGGCCAATCGATGTAACAGATTCATTTGATGTAATCCTGAGTTAGTGTTAACTAATTATAGAATAATCACACAGCAGTAGATAACATATTGATGATAATTGCCTCAAGGAAGTGAAACAGACTTTCTGCTGCTACATACCATAAGCATAAATGCCTCTTAAAAGATTTTCTTGTAAACCCATGTCATCAAAAGTGTCATAAACTTTATCATATGAGGTGAAGAATTCTTGTCCGTCGGTAGAAAGCCTGAGAAATCCATTTGCAACACGTCAAATAACAGAATAGGCACTTAAATAACTAGTCCAAGCATTACAGAAAGTGAACAGTATCTTGCACAGTGACTTACAGTTCAGTTATCTTAGCATCATATTGACGACCATCAAATTGAGTTCTTTCTGGAGCCAGACCTGCCATCACTGCAATGCAGGGAAAAAATTAAGTAATCTGAAAACTGTAGAAAAACTATAACAGATAACAAAAGGAGGCTCCAAAAATTATTTTAAGACAGACTAGTAGCTGATTGTATTCCATTTTTCAGGAGAAGATATTTTGGAGGCCAGATGGGTATGCAGCCAAATTGAATATGAACTCATATACCGATTGCCACTAAAAATAATACACATCTCTAAGGAAAAAAAATAAGATTCCAATGTCAGAAACATTTAACAACTTTCTTTTTATTCTTGGTGAACAACATTTAACTACTTTCTATGGCTGCATTATTAAGTATAACATACTACTATTGAGTAACCAGAAAGCATCATCCTGATAATGCCACAAAACTCTAAACAACTACGCCACAATTCCAAGAACAAGAATTTGTTTTTTTTTTTTTTTACGTAATATTATCTTCCCTCAATTTCCAGGCAACGAAACAGATCACCAAAAACCAAAATCATACCCGGAAAAAAAAAAAAAGGAACTGAACTGGTTGACACATAAGAACTATCGAAAGAGCAATCAGATCAACCCCACATTCCAAACTCAAAGCCATTAACTTGCAAACGAAAACGTGGGTCTATATGTAAAGTATCAAGGTTTTGGGAAGAAGACATCAAAATACCAAAATCAAGGGAGGCAAAGTGAATAAAATAAAGCATGGGAGGGTAGATTTATTTGAAAGAAAAGAGGTACCTGGTAGTACGTTGAAGCTTGCTTGTATAGCGACTAACGAGAGAGAACACAAAGAAGGAAGAGAGGAATCAACAGTTGAAAGCAACTTCGAAAGGAAGGACACGAAGGTTTCCACAAACTCCTCGGATCTGCACCGTGGAGTTGAAGGAAGGTGAACGTAGGACGTAGAGCCATTCTGATTACTTTTATAGACAAAAATATTCTAAAATATTTAGAGTAAATTGTTATCTACATATCAATATATCTTATCTACTTTTTAAAATCAAATCAACGGATCAATAAATCATTACTATTATCTTTGTCAATATTCAGTTTACGTAATGAACTCCTTCGTGTCAATATCAATGATATTCTAATATGATCTCGCGTGTGAGTTATGCAAGTATTTCATAAGATTCTTCACCCAAAAAAAAAAGTATTTAATAAGATTCTAATCCATATTATCATGGTAAAAAATCCATATTATCATAAAATATGAATTCTATCTTTATCAACTTGAATTTATTGAAAAATATTAAATTAAAAAATTAATATTATATGTTTTTTCTCAAGTAATATTATGTTTGTATTCATCTCAAAACTTAATATTATCCTACTTTTTTTGGCCAACTAATATTATTGTACTACTTGTTAATATTTAAATTATCAATATCATAAATATGTTATTGCAGACGAAACTTAGAAAGTTCTTTAAAACTATTATATCCACCGTTCCAATAAAATTATGTGATATATTTTTTTTCCTAAGGTCAAGGTAGATCTTGAAGTATTTTTTTATGTGCATTTAGCAGTTTAAAATATTTTTTGATGTATTGCATCTTAAGTATTTTTTCAAACATATTGAACATTTTAAAATATTTTTTTAGTACAATCTTACGCTTAACAAATTAGGACTCATCCAAAAACTCATTTGAGGCATCAGTTGCACATGAAAAAATACTTAAAAAAACTGATACAGCAAAATATAATTTAAAGTACTAGACGGAAAAATATTTTAAAATATTGAATACACAACAAAATATTTTAAAACATTGAATGTATATAAAAAACTATTTTAAAGTATTTGAAACAATGCTAATGGAAAAAATAATACAAGTGGTAGAAATCTAATTGAAACAATGAGGTAATAATTTTGAGAAACTCCCGGCAAAAAAAAAATTTAAGAAATTTAATAAAGTTTTCTCCTCTTATTAATATATGTTGAGGTATGAAAATCAATACATGTCGATATATTTATAGACTAGGAATAAAACGTCTTAAATAAAATAAATCAAGTATAAAATTAGTAAATTAGAACAAATTGTTACTGTGAAATTATTATAATTTTCCGATAAATTTGATATTCCATATTAATTTTAATATACTGATATACTACTTTCGGTCTTAATTATAAAAATTAATTAACTAATTTGAAAAGATTAAAAAAAAGTTAAATTAGTTATTTGTAATAAATAAATATTATCTTTCATAAAATATATTTACTAATCATGATTAGAATTACTATTGCTAGAAGGACTATTTTAAAAAAATATATAAATATAAAAAATAAATTAAATTAAAATTTTATATTTAAAATGAAAATAAAAATTGAATAATATGTTATGTTAAAAACAAGAACTAGTATATGAGATTAACTTTACTGAGGGATAAGAGAATAAAATTCCAAAAATTGTAATGATAGTATCGTCTTCGCACGCCGGAGCTCACAACTGTTAGACCCATTTTCCGATTCCTCCAAAGCTGTCCCAGACGATTTGATCTCACGATTCCAAGCTAGAGGAAGCTCGGAGGGATTGGGCTGAAAATAATAATCTTCATACCATCTACAGTTTGAGGTAATCAAGAAAACCGAACCTTTTTCCCTTTTCCATTTTCGGTCTCCATTCCAAATATTCTTGCATTTCTTTCATGTCCTTTGAAAATGAAGGCAAACGATAGGAGCATATCGCACTAATATTTTCGGCGCTGCCTTAGATTTATAGCAGTTGCTGAAATTATGATTTCGATTTTACACAAACGATTAATCTAACTTGTCTCTGTGCGTTCTTGTTCGTTAGATCTTAGCCGACTTATGATATTGCTTCTGGATTTTTGGACAGCCGCGTATTCGAATAATATGTCTTCATTTTGTTAAGCTCAATCGCTGGAAGCTATTTTAGTGTTTGTATTATATAGTTCGGATTTACTCGTACCTTTTGCAAAAGGAACTGAATTTCTTCTTTGAATCTGAATCAGTATAGTTTATTATGTTCTTCTCGACATCAAGAACCAAGAAACTGCTCTTTTGCTTAAGATGGCGGCCTCTATGCCCTATTGTTCTAGGTCAAAAACATAATTTTGATATAGAATATGGAGAATTAACTACTTAAGTTCAAACAGGGAAAAATCCCCTTATTCACTGATCATAGGAAGAAAGTCTGTTTAGGAGGTGATACAATGACTGAACTTTTGGTTGTGGCAGCCAAGTCTTATGAACAGATTAACTGTTTTACTTTTATAAGTTGGTAAGTCTCAATTCTTAGATGCATTTTAATATTGCACTCATTTATATGACCTTTTGATAGAAGTCTTTGTTGGATTCTTGGTTGGATGGAGAATTTAGTTCCTATGCACCGGCCCATGGAACTTATCTTCCAATGACACGTAAACATTTTAATGCCAAGAACACTATTTTGAGTGTTCTACAACTATTTTAAACATGTATTACTTCTGAGATCTCTGCACAATAGGATTCAAACTGCCATAGGCTTATTTAGAGAATTTATGTTGTGGCAAAAGTAACTCATCTTACCAGCTAAACTGAGGTTGAGTAGATTTATCAACTTTAGTAAAAGCTACTACTTCACTCCATGCCAAAATAATCTGCAGATTCGATGCTTGTTTTAGCTAAAAGGAAAGGACTATTAAAATCTGTTTCAAGCTACTCCTCCTTTGACTGAGTTGGGTAATCAATTTGCTGCTGCGATGTGCCATTAATGCTAGTCAATGTATCTTCTAAATCTTAGCATTTTTTATGAAGATTGTCATGGCTTTTGGAACATTGAAGGAGTAAATTGTAATTACATGTAATTGTAAACTTGATTTCTTAAAATTTCATAACCACATTTATAGAATTAAACTATTATGAATTCTTCTTTACAGGCCCTTATGTGCCTACTAATACTTCTTGGATTCGCTTTCTACCAGAGCATTATTGCTGCACACCCACTTTGCAAAATACTGCACAATTAAAGATAATTTTGTTCAGTTTAGTGCTTATGCCTGTAATGACTGAAATTTTATTGTTTGGATCTGTCACCTCAAATTGCTTTTAGTTTGTTCTCTTGAAAGGCTGATCCAATGCAATAAATTGTTCACTGTGTTTGGTTTGGGAGTTAGAAAAGTGAAGGGACTCCCACCTGAGCAGGTCAGATAATTTCATCAGTTATAATACAGAAGAATTGTTAGGAAGAGGAAAATGATATGCTTAGAGAGGGAGAACAATTCAAAACTTCTTAAATCTGCTCAACTTTACTTAAAAGGATACTAGGAAGAGGGAGATACTCAAAACACGCTTATATAAAACTGCTCCTGAAACAAACTCCTTATATTATACTCTCTCTTTCCCTTTTTATAAGCAACAACTACCATCCCCCTCTTGTCCCTATATATAAACAACATTTGCAAGTCCCCATGAATTACTTATCTTAATACTCAATATATTTATTATCTCATTTCCCAAACAATCATCTCTCTCCATCACATATTCTCTCTCCTTCATAATTCTCTTTATTATAATATTTTTTTTATACTCTCTCCCCCATAAATAAGGGTATTTTGGATAAAGAACTTTCAATTTCTACACATTTATTGTCTTTAACTAATTTTAACTAACTTTTTATCTGTGATTTAGTCCAAGGTTGCTTATAAAAGAGGACAGAGAGAGTATCAAACTTCTCATGAAACAAACGTGCTCTTCACAATGCACAAAATATTTAACCTATTTATACTATTTTCCTTGACCCTTGCGTCATCTCCTATTCAATAGAAGTTACTAAAAACCATATAGAATTCAACCCACACAAATTCACACACAATAGTAAACTTAGGATTTCTAGTACTTATAAATGACTTTGACTAGATCATATATTTGAATTTACATTTCCAACATTCTCCTTAAACTCATAGTTTCTTCGATCACTGGTGATGACCTGTACTATAACCAGAAAGAACATTTCAGACTACAGAAGCTAGCATTATTTTAATGTCAACTGGTTCAGTAGCTGGATTGCTTAAATTCTCTTTCTTCCATCTTGGTTGTCAGTGCTTGTAGCTCATCTTTAACTTAAAGAAAATTTTTCTTGATTCGTCATTCAATTCTTCCCAGTCATTTGACTCGGTATGATTCTCTCATACACAGCTTGGACCACAGCAATATAAAAATATTTCAGATGCTTTATCATACAAAGAGCAGATTCATTTTCATTATCTTTCTGTGTGCGCCTTGAAGCCATATCGTCCATGCCTTCCATACTTGTTCGCATATGTAACTTTGGCTTGAAAAATTGGCTGATGATTTGGACCATGCTTCTCCCATAAATACTTTGCTGACGGCAGATTCATTGGCTCCTTGAGTATCACTGTAGCTTGAAGAGTCACAAAAATTTGTTCTTCATTCTCCATTCTTTGGTTTCTGGTTATTGCTAAACTCTAGAGGTTCTTTTCTCTCAACCTCATTGTCTCTTCAAGACTTCTCTTCCTTTCTTTGTTGTGTCTGACTCTTTATGTCCCATACTCTCAACAGGTTCTCTTCAATGCAAACCTTTAGATCTTTGAACACTTCCTCAATTGATTCTCCTTTAAGATATGGGGATGCCAACACATGCAAATAGCCCTTGTTTTATCCTCCTCCTCTGTGTGTGTGTGTGTTTTTTTTTTTTTTTTTCACCCTCTGTGTTTAGGGTTAGATACTACTCTTGTTAAAGAGGAAAAGGATAGACTTGGAGAGGAGAACAGCTTAAAACTAGTTAAATCTACTTAACTTTGCTCAACAATATACCTGGACGAGAGTGATACTGAAAACACATTTATATCATAAAACTTCGCATAAAACAAGCCACTCTACAAACTCCATTTTCCAAATCATATAACACACTTAACTATTTGTACTATATTCCATAACTCTTAAAGACTTAAACTAATTCCTATCTAACAGTTTGCTAAAACTATATGTAAAACACATGTTTCTAGATGAATGAATTCAACCCACATAAATTGACAGACAATACTATACTTGGGAACCCTTATTATTAATTTTGACTCAATCATATGCTTGAGATTTCATTCCGAACTAGAATTTCTTTTCTAAAACAGCATAGCCGTCCAATATGATATTGAAGTTTACTTTCTTTCATTAAATTTTCATAAAAAAGAATTTTGTATTGCCTTTCAGACTTCTTTTCCGGAAATATTTCAAATGGTTGACAGCAATACATCTTCTGGATCTCCTGAAGAAACTCAAAACCCAGTTCCAGATGGGAATGCACCTTCAGAAAGTGATCTTGTGCTTGATACTCTAGCCCAAAAGGTTCAGGAGTCTCTCTCTCTCGAGAAAAGGCATAAATTTTGGGAAACTCAACCTGTTGGGCAGTTCAAGGATGTAGGAAACACCAATTTGCCCGAAGGCCCTATTGAACCCCCAACTCCCTTATCTGAGGTTAAACAAGAACCATATAATCTTCCGAACCTCTATGAATGGATTACTTGTGACATCAACTCTGAGGAGCTGTGTAATGAGGTTTATAGCCTCCTTGCTAATAATTATGTTGAAGATGATGAGAACATGTTCAGATTTAATTACTCAAAGGAGTTTCTGCGCTGGGCTCTGCAACCTCCTGGTTATTTCAGGGGTTGGCATATTGGTGTCCGTGTTAAAAGCTCCAAAAAATTGGTTGCCTTTATCACAGGTGTTCCTGCTAGAATCCGAGTTCGTGATGAGGTTGTTAATATGGCAGAGATAAATTTTCTGTGTGTGCATAAGAAGCTTAGATCGAAAAGGCTTGCTCCTGTTATGATCAAAGAGGTGACTAGAAGGGTGCATTTGGAGAATATCTGGCAGGCGGCTTATACTGCTGGGGTGGTACTTCCTACCCCAATAGCGACCTGCCAATACTGGCACAGATCTTTAAATCCAAAGAAGTTAATTGATGTTGGGTTCTCTCGTCTTGGTGCACGAATGACAATGAGTCGAACAATCAAGCTTTATAAGTTACCAGAGTCAACTGTCACTCCAGGATTCAGAAAGATGGAAATTCATGATGTTCCTGCAGTTACTCGGCTACTTAGGAATTACCTAAGCCAGTTTGTTGTTGCACCTCATTTTGATGAAAATGATGTCGAGCATTGGCTTCTTCCAAGGGAGAATGTTGTTGATAGCTTTCTTGTTGAGAGTCCTGAAACTCATGAGGTCACTGACTTCTGCAGTTTTTACACACTTCCTTCAACCATCCTGGGAAACCAAAACTATTCTATTTTAAAAGCAGCGTATTCCTATTATAATGTTTCAACAAAGACCCCTTTGCTTCAGCTCATGAATGATGCTCTCATTGTTGCGAAACAAAATGACTATGATGTTTTCAATGCATTGGATGTTATGCAGAATGAATCCTTCTTGAAGGAATTGAAATTTGGACCAGGTGATGGGAAGCTTCACTACTATCTTTACAACTACAGAATAAGGCAGGCTCTGAATCCAGCAGAGCTTGGACTTGTGCTTTTGTAGTCTGAAGTTTTGGAATTTTATTATGGCATGGATGGATGAAGAAATCGTGACGGTTTGCTGGCTTTGTCTGGTTGCATAACATGTGGTGAGCCACGGTTGGAACTTTAGTTTTATTTTTGGAAACAAACAATTTTGCAAATTCCTGGTAGAGGAATTTGGCGTCAGTTAAGTTAGAAGTGGTTTAATTTGAAGAAATACCGTTTGCTATTTGCAGTTTTTGGGCATGGTCTTGATTATGTCATTTAAGTTCGATTGAAGAAATCATAACGGTTTTATTACCAGAATTCTAGACTAACTGGCATGCAGCTGGTACAAAGCATTGAATTTTGGGATTTTTTTTGGGTTATTCTCACATGCTTTGCATCACTTCTTACATTCTCTACTAGATATGATTCATACGTGGCACAGAATTTGAGAAATTAATTATATAATCCATATTATATGTCTACCATGAAACCAATAGATTCATTAATTGGCTGGCCGAGGATGCTCATGCTATGGACAAACAGCTATATATGCACCCGTATCGATCTTCTTCTTCAATGTAACGGGTTGATTTTTTTTTATTTTTTTTTTGGAGAGAAACTTCCAAGTTTTTCTGTTTATCACTTTTCATATATAAATAGTGTAACTAGTTATAAAAATTATATTTGATGTTGACTATTGATGATTTTATACAAAGTTTTTGATGAAAATAAGAATGTTAATCAAGTGTCTTACCATGTTATTATAATGGACATCCTTGAATGTTGCGAATTTCATCCACCTGAAAATTACAAATTTAATCCAAAATATTTTGATCATAAAAAGCTAGATTAGAATGATTAAAACCCAACCCAAAACCTGATTCGGTTGTGCCGTCTTTGATTTTTATCTGAAATTTGGCCGTTTTAGGTTTTAATTCTTGCGACGTTCAGCTTGTTATTTGATGGCGTGGATTGAGCATCAATCTCCTGTTGGCTCGTTCAATCACACGACTCTAGTTTTTAGATTCAATTATATGACGAAATCATGAAATTCGCGTGGAGAAAACTGTACGAAAAGAAGCTAACAGCCTCAAATAAGCACTGCTTTTGATATTAGCTATACAAGTATTGAGGATTTGAAATACCACAGACCTTTCCAATCCCAAGTGAAATTTTTTTTTTTCCTTGGTAAGGGGGGAATTAGGCAGATCATCATTTCATTGGATCACAAAATTTACATAAATACCAAAGTCAATAGGACTCCATCTAACGACCTTGCATTTCTGTATAAGTTAAGCCAGCAGTATGATTTCACCCCGTGAACCTGCATAAATAAACCCACAAGGCAATCAGTTCATTTATTGTAAGAATGATTAGAGAAATGAGTGAGAAGATGGGCAATTTATCTGTAGTACATTGGTCATAAATCTCCTTCGCTAGCTGTAACATTGCATCAGCGTCTTCGGCCAACTTCGAGAATTTTTCTGCCTCCTTGATTGCTTCAGCAGCCCAATGTGATTTGTGCTCTGCTTCAGCTATTCTGTATGCCGCAATCTCCGCAGCATCCATCACTGTCTCTTGAGATGCCGTAAATCCAGACGCTGGTGATTGACGTGGCCTGGAATCGTTTGGTTTTGGAGCAGGTGGTTTTGTCTCAGGAGGCGTCGCTCTCTTTATCTTGTAACAATTTTGTACCTGCATGGGAGGGCGGAGCTGAGAAACCCAAAACATATATAACAATGAAATTAAATCTAAGCTCGAGATTACAGTAACCAGGCAGAGGCAAGGCAAAGCAAACTGGACGACAACTAAACAGAATAAAGGAAAAGCAAATAGGCTACCAAACAGAGGATTGAGTATTGACATCATTCGAGCTCCTCAAAAAAGATTGAAGTTTCAAGAAATAGAGTCCAGGAAAATGGCAAAACTAAGAAAGAGGACACGATGCAGAGAAGGGTTGAGAGGGGGGGATAGACTCCACAAGTGAATATCCCCAACCCAAAAGTAAATCCCACGGAAACCCCCCCCCCCCAACACACAAAAAAAGAAGAAGAAAAAAAGGAACATGCCAACATTTTTCCCAAATTCTATGCAAAGAGTTAAAACATAAGGAAATTCAACATTTAAATCCTCATACCACATATCCAAAGAAAATAATTTCAACGAAAATTAAGTTGTCTCCATCATATATATTTCTACAATAAGCCAACATCAAGGAGCATATTTTACCTTTTCAAGTTTTCCTTGATCAACAAGCTTCCTCAACCTTGCACCTACTGCTCGTCTGAAATTTTGGGGAACCTCATGCTTTTGCTGCAGCGTTATACATGGTCATCATCCTTTGAGAATTTCAGCATAAAACTCAGCACATAAAGAAACTCTAAACACAATCAATAATCCATGTTCTGGTGAATTTCCACACACCATCACCCTCAAAAAACCAAACCCCCCCCCCCCCCCGGTTTTTTTTCCAGAACAGGCAATAGATAAAGGGGCTTGAAAAGTGGGCAGCTTTAACAAACTCAACTGTTTGACTAAATGCAAGTCATAATGACTTCAACAACAGACACTAATATGACAGAAAGATCAAGGAATGATATTGGTTCAAGTTCAATATAGTATGTCAAAGAAATCATTAAAGTTGATGAATAGATATAAATACCAAAGTGGCACATGTCTTGCAAGATAGGCTCATGGCAGAGAAACCAGACAACCCAATATTCATACAGAGTTCAACCCTAAATTTTTTAGCAAACGCATGGAAGAGATTAAGAACCAGCTAAACGACCATATGATGCCTGTATATTTATACTTAAGCTTTGATCTTTAGCATCTTAAAATAATCTCAGAACCATAATAAAAATTACAGCCTTGACTGAGGATTTGTCTAGCGTAACAGAAAACAAAATTAGAACTTCATCTGACCTCAATGAAACTAACAATAGCGTTTAGGTCAGATCCATTGGAATCTTTTATCATTGATAGGGCCTCAAAAATCATTGCATTGTACCTGTTAAAGAACATAGAGTACAAAAAACCCCTAACGAGTCATGATATAATCTTGATTAAACAGTCGAGGTAATAAGTAAAAAGTAAGGCGTATTATATTGAAGGCAATATAAATTTTGCAACACGACAACCAGAGATTATGTAAATAATACTCGGAATGGTGGTGCATATGTGTTCCTGCAACGTGATATAATACTTCAAATAGGACTAACACATTCAAATATGGCTCGGTCAAATGATTACAATTTCACAGTTGGGAGTTCAGTTCAGTCAGAGGGCTGCTTACTGGGGAGCATGTTTGACATCCTGTGCATTGTGAGATGAATCATCTGCGACGGCATCAGAAGCTGCACATTGACGAAGTGGAGGAGCAACAGAAGCATTTTGCGTGCCCGCAGGTGTAGCAGGTTCCGTAGTTTTAGTCTTCGGGTTCCTAGCTTTTTCTTTAGATCCCTGAGCTGAAGTACTGACACTTAAATTTCGCCATTTATCCTGGTAAATGTGCCAGAATGACAAAATAAAAAGGGACAATATAAGAAGATTTCTCAACATACAAAAGTCTTCAGAGTATGTTCAAATTAGTCAAAACTCAGAAAATAAAAACAGCAGCATCGGCTTTTGTCAATCATGCGTAGATGCACTCCGGTCATATTTCATTCCCCGACACAAAATTGAAAGCCAAATGCGAAAACATCAAAATAGTGAAAAAGGAAAAGGAAAAAATCCCTAAAGTCGATTAACAATCTCATACCGAACAACAGCTAAAGAACAATAATAATAATAATTTAAGGAAAAAACTAAACACCTGCCATTGTAAAGATTCGAGAAAAGGAAGAGAAACAGGATGAAAAAAGAGGAACCTTAAGATCGATGTTGGAACGGTGAGTGAGAAAAGGGGCAAACTCGGGATCTTTGAGGATATTCTTCCACTTGCCGGGGCCATGCTTCCCAATGCCAGCGAGCAAAGCTTCTTCTTCCTCGGCGGTCCACTTATGCTTTTGATTTCCCATTTGGATTCACCAATCTACACGCCGGCGTTTTCAAGATTGCGTTTCACTCCAGAAGCAGAAACAGCTCCGCCGCTGGCTCCCGCATGCTGCGTCTAGCGGAGAGGGTGCGTGAAAATTGTACGATAATACTGTATATCAAAAAATTATTAAAAAGTTTAAATATTAAAATTATCAATGTGTGCGCGCATAAAATAAATTAGAATAGATTTTGATGTAGATTTATTTCAATAATGGTGATAATTATGTTGAATTCAGTTAATTGATAAAAAAATAAATTATTACGTAATTACATGCATTTCAATTTCTATTATGTTTAATAGCTTTAAATATACGAAGCATATTTTCAATTATTAATTATTATTTATTTAACAAAGTATTGGAAATATATCTTACAATAAATCTTATTTAAATCTATTTGAAATGCCTAAATTCAAAATGCATATTTTTGCGGAAATAAAATCCAAAATCCAAACATTTTAGAAATAAAAAATACTCCTTATTTTAAATGTAAGATTCATTTTATAATATAATTTGCAGTATAAAATATGTCTTATATTTAGTATTAGAAAAATAATATTACCTCTAGTTTTAATTATAAGATTTTATTTGTAGTCTATAAATAAAATCTTATAATTAAGATATATTTATAGTTTACAAATAAGATTTTATAATTAAAACTGAAAATAATATATGCAGAATCAAATATCAGCTTACAACTCTTATTAAAAATGTGTGGCCGCTAACGTAGGAGCTCAAACCATCAATACGCGTGGTGCGGTTTGCACCGGAGCCCTGAAAATTGGCTGAGGCGGCATTTAAAAAAAAAGAAAGAAAGAAGTGGCGGTATCTCAAATTGTACTTTTTTTTAGACTGATTTGAAATTTTGTTGATGAGAACAATAATAATACATAGCAAATAATCTTATCTTAATATTAGGGAGATGTTTATTTGACATATTTTCGATACAAGTGTGCAATAATACTTGATATAACTCAATAAAATTATAGTATTAATTTCCAACAATTGTAAATATAATATCGTACAACTATATAATTTGGGGCAAAAAAAGAAAAGCTTAAGAAATGCCTCCAATGAGATGTGCATGTGTGTGCATTGAAGCTTGAAAGTAAAAGCTGAGTTAGAAATGGCTAAGCAAAATATATATATATATATATTTCAAACATAAGCAATGAAAATTTATAGGAGCATTTGATATTTGACAGAATATGAATAAAAAGATCTGCTTTAAAAAATATCTTGATGATATAATGGTTTTATGGATTCCAAAACTATATGGAAGCAATCGAACACAAGTACATAATAAGACAAACTAGATAAAATGTGGCTTTCCTTCTTTCTTTCTTTTTTGGGTCAAAATACGTATTAACTCTACAACATTAATTGATGAAACGTTTAAAGTCTTGCATTGTTTTTGGAGGGAGTAATATTAAAACACACACTGCAAATATCTTCCTTTTTGGTTGGCATATCATATCACGTAGATGGAGAGAATGCCTATGTATAACATAAATAGTATTAAGACTATTTTATTAGTTGAAATGGTAAGCAGTATCATCCTTATAAGTTTGAATCCCGATAAACTTATTTGATAGTTGGACTTCAACCCTAATGCTTTTGGTTCAACATAGATTAGTTTCAAACCCAAAACCATTTTAAGATATCTTGAATTGTACAAAAAGAGTATTAAAACTCAATTTGAAACTACTAATTAGATTAATGAAACAGTTCCCCAATTGGTTTGATTAAGAGGTTTGAAGGGGACAACTAAATTGAATTTTATAGTTTTTTTTCAGTCTTCAAGTTTGAAACCATATTATTTTAAATTTAAAAAAAGCAATAGATCATATATATGTTTTAATAATTCTATTTTATTAAATTATGCATAACTTCATACACAAATGTTTCATTTACTCATAAATTAATGCATTTTTTATTTAAATATTACTCTTTTAGAGCATTGACTCTTAAATCACTTTTTCAATTAGTTTCATAATTGGTCCAATTTTTAATATCTTGAGAAGAAGTAAATGTTAAAAAGTGTGACGAGTAGTTTTGAAGGATGCAAATGAATTATTGTTATTTCGGAGTATGTGTGGGAAATAGCAAAAAGTTCTGTCTTGATGATCAATTCAAGTTAATTAACATGAATGTTAAGGGCTACCTTGCTTTAAAGAAATAGTTAGAAATACAACTATAAGCATTTGTAGATGCGAAGAAAATATAGCTAGGCTGTATCAGCTACAATGGAAAGACCACAAAGCCCAGAAAAATGGTACAAGGAGTATAATCCATATTAGCAAAAAGGATATTATCAATATCAATATACAACTATTTTTTGGGTCACCTTGTGCAGCCCATTGTTTGAATCTTGTTTTAAGAGATATTGGTTCATTGCCTCATGTGTCAACACTTGCAACAAAGGCATCTAAAATTACTATATTTGCATATAATTATACAATCTTCTTGTCATGGCTAAGGAAAAGACCTGGTTGGAAGGAAATTGTCCGTCCTAGCGCGACAAGGCTTGCAACTACATTCATTACCTTGCATAGCATATATTTGCATAAACATGACTTGTAAGCTTTAGTGATTGATAAGCATTTTGTGGATCACAAGTTAGCAAGAACTAAAGCTGGGAGAACTTTTAGTACAACCGTATTGGATAATCGGTTTTGGAATGAATGTTACCAAGTTGTGAAGATTGTGTCTCTGCTTATGAGACTTTTGAGGATTGTTGATTCGGATGAAAAACCTTCGTTACCTTATAATTAATCTTTCATGACTTAATTATTATTCTCCCTAATATAAGGCTTCAAGTATGAATAGACTTGACGTAAAACAGGGGGAAAATAAGAAAGTCTTGCATTAGATAGGGTTGGGCCGCGGAAAAGTCCTGATATGGATTCTCCCCTTCTTCAAGATGCTCCTACCTCAGTAGTCTTTGTCATATTAACTATATCTAGCTATTAAATGTAATTAAATATGACTGTTCACTCATATTAGTTAAATCTGTGAAAGCAGATCCCAGCACTGAGAGCAGACTCCCTCCAGAACAAGCCTTTTCGATCTATGTTCCGAGAGATGATCGATTTGGAGACCAGAAGCTGTTTGAGTTTGTGCAAAATTTTCCCAAATCATCCATGAACCTTATGAAACCATATGTATCAGCGGAATTGGATAAATCAGGAAAAGAATTTGAAAGCTTTGAACAGGTACTTAAAGTACTGTACAAAGATGGTTTTACATTTAATGTGCCCATAGAGGTACTTAAAGCCATTGCTGAGAGACTGCCAATACCAACGCCCCCAGAAAATGGCGATCTGCAGTTATTGTTTCCAGTTCCTGGTGTCATTCAAGGTACCTATATTTATCTATCTAACTAAGCTCTCATTTCTTAGCCTTTAATATTTTTCCGAAGAAGTCATACAAATTAAATATTTAATGTTTGGAACAGATAATCTAGATGGATGGATGACGGATGAAGAATTTGCACGAGAGATGCTTGCCGGTGTGAATCCCGTTTTAATCTGCCTCCTTCAAGTGAGAAAATTAAAGTGATCAAATATGAGAGACGCAACCATTAATTTGTCTTCTCTAAATATAATTATCCTCTCATAATTTTCTTAAATTCATTGCAGGAGTTCCCCATAAAAAGCACGCTAGATATTAAACTCTACGGTGATCATACATCCAGCATAACAAGAGAACACCTGGAGAAGAACATGAAAGGGCTTACGGTTCAAGAGGTGAAATTAGAAATGCAATTTTATTGTCCTCGTCTTATTAAGGAGTTTATCATATAAAGTTTAGCATTTATATCTGAAAGAATACCATTTAAGCTTTGATTGATGCATGCAGGCACTGAATTCCAAGAGATTATTCATATTAAATCACTACGACGCATTCATGCCATACTTGAGGAAGATCAATGAAACTTCCAGAAAGGCTTATGCAAGTAGGACAATCCTGTTCCTCCAAAATGATGGGACTTTGAAGCCACTTGTAATTGAGCTTAGTTTACCTCACCCTGATGGAGATCAGTTTGGTGCTATCAGCAAAGTGTATCTGCCTGAAACTGAAGGTGTTGGGGGTACCATTTGGCAATTGGCTAAAGCATATGTAGTTGTGAATGACACAGGCTATCATCAACTAGTCAGTCACTGGTAAACAGTTTTTTCACCCTTAGTAATTATACATTCAGTTATAAAATATGCAAATCATGAAGGCATCTCCAATTAATACAATGATTAATATTTTCATTCTTCTTTTTAATTTTTGTTTCTCAGGCTGAATACTCATGCTGATGGAGCCGTTTGTTATTGCAACATATAGGCAACTCAGTCAACTGCACCCTATGTTTAAACTTCTTCATCCTCATTATCATGACACCTTGTTTATCAATGCACTTGCTCGCCAAAACTTAATCTCTGCAGATGGAATTATAGAGAACTCATTCTTGCCTGGAAAATATTCAATGGAGATGTCATCTGTGGTTTACAAGAGTTGGAATTTTCTTGACCAAGCCTTACCTGCTGATCTCATCAAGAGGTAAACTGTATAATATTAATTTAAAATAAAAAAGGCATATAATCCTTAAGTTGATAACTTGCTAACAATTATTGGAAAAAATTTCAGAGGAATGGCGGTGGACGATCCAACAGCTCCTCATGGGCTTCGCCTTCTGATAGAGGACTACCCTTATGCTGTAGATGGGCTCCTGATATGGGATGCTATAAAGACTTGGGTTCATGACTATGTCTCTTATTACTACGAGTCAGATGAGATCATTAAGCAGGATCCTGAGCTACAATCATGGTGGAAAGAACGTGTAGAAGTAGGTCATGGTGACCTTAAAGACAAGGACTGGTGGCCAAAGATGCTGACTCGTCAAGAGCTAATCCACTGTTGCACTATTATCATATGGATAGCTTCAGCTCTGCATGCAGCTGTGAATTTTGGACAGTACCCTTATGGAGGTTATATCCTAATCCTACTCTCAGCAGAAGGTTGATGCCTGAGAAGGGAACTCAATAATATGCCGAGATGGTGGAGAATCCAGAGCTAGCTTTCTTA